TATATAGTATACCTGATTACAAAAATTGTATAACAAATAATAATAATAATAATAATAAAAGAGTTATTTTTATTATAGAAAATAACAAAAACAATTGCAACAAAATTATCAGTTAGTTTTGTTTTATTATTATTATTGTAGTAAAAATATATTATTTAATTATCTAAAAATTTATTTAATTATTTTTGTATAACTATATAATCAGATATACACTGTATAATGTATTTTATAGACATAAACTAAAAAACAAAAACAAAAATAACTTTTTTTAAAAAAAGTTTATTAGTAGTGTCTAACTTTAATGAGCATTAAAAAACATAAATATACTGTAAATAATTTTTGTTGATTTCAAAATATGATTATACAATATGTCACCAAAAAAATAATTATAATTTTATGTATGTTTATGTGTTTTTTAAAAAATACATTGAATTACAATAAAAATAAATTTATGAAAAATAAATTCAATGCGATATAATGTTTAAAAAATGTTACTTAAAAAACTTACTGAATATTTTTTAGCTAGCTCATATAGTTAAGTTTTATTTGCTTTTTTAAATAATTTTTTATAAGTTTTTTTTGGATAATTTTATTGTATTTATWTATAAATTACTAAAATTTTTGTTTTTTAAACTTTTCATTTTAACAAATCTTAATTCAACATAAATTTTTTTGTTGAGATATTTGTTACAATTAATTATATTATCAATAATATTGATATTGCAATTTGCTATCATTAAAAACTATTAATATATWAAAAAAACAAATAAAATAAATTTTAAATTATAGGAATTTATTTTTTTTCATAGAAATAAATAATGTTTAATATAATAAAAATTTTATTTTATTTTTATTACTTGAAAATATTTTATGAGTTAAAAAAATGGTTCAACGCTTTCACTTGATTTTGCGTTCAAAATATAAATTTTTTAATATAAAGTATTTTATCATTAAATCATTTTTATTTTGTTTTGATAATAAGTAAGAGTAAAAAAATAAATAAATTATACAAAATTTTTTTGTATTATTTATTAAGTGGTCTCTTAAATAAAGATTTTTATTTTTTTACAAAAAAAAACTAATATTATTTAATTATTTTGAAATAAAGACCAATTATTTGGTAATAAAAGAGATTATTAATATCTATAAAATATTTTGTTGATTTAAACATTTGATTTAATGATGTTTTTTTATAATAGTATCTATCAATTAATGGATTGATAAATAATATTTTATAAAATAAAAGGCTTTAATTATGCTATTAATATATTTTATTACTTAATACTCTCTCTCTCTCTCTCTCTCTCTCTCTCTCTCTCTCTCTCTCTCTATTATTTCATCGCATATCACGACAAGTAATAAAATTTATACAAATATTTTTATCCAAAATTAAAAACTATATTAAACTTAAAAACTTGTTTGAAAAAAATATATAAAATATAAAATAAATTCATGACATTTAATAAAGAAACAAAAATCATATACAAAAAAAATTATTTTAACGATTATTATTTATATTACAATATTATATATCTAATAATGAGTTTTTAAGTAGAAGTGAATTTATAAAATAAACTTTATTTAAGGTTTTTTTGGCAAAAAAAATATCAATACATTAGATAAAAATAAATATTAATCAAAATTTTAAATTTTATAATAATATATTCATTTAATATATATAAATATATGTTTTATTTTGACAAAACATTGTATATAATAATATTATTTAAACAAACAAATTAAACACACAGTGGAGACACCGGTATTATATAATACTACCGGTGCTATCAAATAGATATACAGTATAATAATATTTTAAATTTTTTATACTATACTTAGAAATTTACATAAAGTTTTTTTAAAAAAATAAATGAAATGTTAATTTATAAATAACTATACATTATATGTATATATAATTTAGTTAATTAACTGTTAATATTCTTTTAAATAAATAAAGATTTAAATGGAAAACTAAAACTAAAATATTTTCATCACTTTATATAATCAGTTTTAACAGTAAATAAATAATTATAAAAACATTATATAATACTATTCACAATATATAAATATATACTGATATAAGTATTATTTAAAATAAATATTTAGAAATAATTACAATTAATATTATTAAASATATGTTGTGTAACTTATTATTATTATTATATTAAATAATATTATCACTAAATAATATGTCTAATGATGTCTAATATATGATGTATAAAAAATATATCTATTAAAATACCAAATAAACAACACAACTATTATTATTATTATTATTATGTTTAGCAAACCTATATAGTTGTTAATAGTTATGTTATTTATACAATCAATAATATATATATATAGTTTACAATAATGTATGTAATTTTGTTTTACTTATTTTATTTTTAAATATCTWAAACAGTTATTTCAAATTGAAATTTGATTTTAATTGAAAGGTTTTTTTAAGTCATCAGTTAGAAAGAGAGAGAGAGAGAGAGAGAGAGAGAGAGAGAGAGAGAGAGAGAGAGAGAGAGAGAGAGAGAGAGAGAGAGAGAGAGAGAGAGAGAGAGAGAGAGAGAGAGAGAGAGAGAGAGAGAGAGAGAGAGAGAGAGAGAGAGAGAGAGAGAGAGAGAGAGAGAGAGAGAGAGAGAGAGAGAGAGAGAGAGAGAGAGAGAGAGAGAGAGAGAGAGAGAGAGAGAGAGAGAGAGAGAGAGAGAGAGAGAGAGAGAGAGAGAGAGAGAGAGAGAGAGAGAGAGAGAGAGAGAGAGAGAGAAGAGAGAGAGAGAGAGAGAGAGAGAGAGAGAGAGAGAGAGAGAGAGAGAGAGAGAGAGAGAGAGAGAGAGAGAGAGAGAGAGAGAGAGAGAGAGAAAGAGAGAGAGAGAGAGAGAGAGAGAAGAGAGAGAGAGARAGAGAGAGAGAGAGAGAGTATGTCTTATGTATTTTGATGAGTGAGAGAGTCATTAAATAAAACAAAATATAATTTAAAAAACAGTTATTTTTTATTAAATAATATTATACTGTAATTAATACAGTAATCAACAATTTAAAATAAATTAATAAATAAATAAAATAAAATATTTTTATTTAATATTAAAATATTTTGCTTAACTAATAGCACATTGAAATCATTTAATATATAGAAAACATATTTAAGTAAATAAAAGTATTTAACTAAAAAAAATACATCATTTTTCTTATAAATATTTAAAATATAATAATAAAACATTATTTCCTGAATAAGTGAATCACTGAAAAAAAACATATGATATCTTAAACACACACTTAATATTGTTGTTATTTTTATATATATAAACAATAATAATAATAATAATAATAAATATATTTTTAATGACAGTTAAGACCATAAATTATATACTGATTTTTTTTTGTTGGTTGTGTGGTTTGGTTTCACATTTAATAAAAAACATAAATAAATTTTTATACACATAACTAGTATATAACTTATTATTTTAAAAGGAAATTTGATTTAAAAAWAAATAAAATTTTAAACTAAAAAGACGTTTTTCAACTTTATTTTTTGTGTATGTATTTAATCATATATTTTGTGTAAACTTTAAAATATTCATTAATCACTTGGTCTTTATGTGTTTTATTTATTATTAATTATATCTGATATCATAGGGGAAAAAATCATTTGATATTTTGTTGAAATAAATGATATAAAACTCATAAAAATATCTAATATATATATATAATCTTCAATTATGTTATCAAATTTAATCAAACCATAAAAAATACATTAATTRATATAAATATCAAAAAAAATATTTATATTGAATAATATTTTTTTAAATAAATAAAAATTTCTATAAAACTATATATGATTTTGATTTTGTAAAACTTTGATTTRTATTATACGGTATATAATATTTTTAATTGTTTTGTTATTGAAATTRTTTAKTAAATTATAGTACAATATATATTTAAATATTATAATTAATTTTATATTATTTTTTAAAAAAATAAATAAATATTARTTTCAAAATTTTTTAAAAAATTTTTGTTRTTKTGTWAMAAACTGTAACTTTTAATTTGTATATAATATTGTACTATATATATAGCTATTAATTAAAAACATCTAATAAGTAGATTGGGCTACAAAACAACACAATGTTTGCAAAAAAAAGTATATAAATTTCTGCAAATTAATTGACAAAAAATAATTAATTGTACTAAATAATTTAAATTATTATACAATTTATATGAAATATAAATAAAATAATTATATTTATATGCACTACTATTTATAGCCAAAAATTAATAAATTAATAAATAAATATGTTTCATATATTTTTTCAATTTTATAATATATTAACTTGTGACGGGCATATATGAGTGCTTACCCGTCAAATGCCCGTAAAGTAAGACTTTACGAAGCAATATGCAATGCGGGGTATGTTTGATAGGGAACTGTGACGTAATTACTGAACGGGTTGCTATAAGAAAACTATTTAAGAGTTACGGTATATTTGTATGGCTTATTAATCACGTCACAGTGTATATGAATAGCCCATTCGGGGCTCTGGTAACTGCGCTTATATATCGGTTATTAGTATCGGAAGCCTTATACCGGAGCTCGGGATGACCTATCTGTGTTAACAGAATAATAGCCAAACTCTGCTACACTTAAGGCTTACACTTACTATTCAAATAATGARTACAACTGTTTATGAGCCTTGAAGCCCCTCCTAGACTAGCTATTGCTAGCCTGAGCTCCGATTTATTGATAATTTATAATGAGMTAGTTAGCAGATTACATGTATTGCTAGTTACAGCTTTTAAAGATATTAATAATTAATTTAACTAATTTACAATAATAATAATAAATCATAATTCATTTTAAACAACAAAACATAATATTAATAAACATATAATTAATACGAAATTAGRAAATAATATCAAATATAGTTAATTTCAAATATAATTAATAATTTTAAATGTGTTTTAATATTGAACATTACAAAATCGACTTTGTAATGTTCAATTGGTAACGGTAGGAGCGCTGATAATATATGTGCCGTCATATTCTTCTACGGTTGAAAAAGAATTTTCGACATAGGGGAAAATTCTATGTAGCGATGAGACATTGAGTATTGATGTCGAAGCGCGATGTTAATTCCTTGTTGTTGTTGTTACTTTGAAAATAATTTCTTTAAATCGTATGTGTCGGTAGTGAATCGGTAGTATTATAAATATGTCATATTTAATCATGTCAGTTTGTTGTATGTGTGTGGACATGCGTAATGTAGGATATTGATCGCTATATTTGCGATTGATTGATGTATTGTCCAGAAATGACATGATTAGATTAAGTAGACAATAAATATTAATAATATTAACGGCATTGATAATATTTGAGCGGTTAGAATGTATTTGTTGCAGCGGCGGTTGTTGTGTTTTAGTTGAGTCAGTAATTGAAAGTCTATTTTCAACCGTAGATCTATCGGAATGAATACGCGTATTTGTGTCGGAGATTTGATCACAGCGTTTACCGAAGTCTATGATGAAATATAGCTGAGTGTGTGTTGAGATGCCGATTATATAGAATTTGTGGAAGAGAAGCATGACTAGCCTTTGAGTGCATGTGGATCGCTCAGAAAATTTAAGTATATCAGTGTCGTAGGATTGACTACCACTTATTCTGATGTCCAGCCGTACAGACAATAGTAGCAGAGGCTTTGAGTTGTAACCGTCGGAGACTTTAGCTTTAGTCTTTATAAGAGTGAGGCGACCGGAGGAGCACGACATCTGTCCGTGGCTAATCTGTGAAAAGCATCCGGTGCTTAGTATTTCGACAACCGAAGACTTAAGTGCATTGTGAGAGGTATCACGGCTTAGCTCGGTGTCATGTGTTTGAGAGACGGTGTGAGTGATTTTAGTTTTGTCGGCTTTAGATATGTTATTTGACTCATTAATTTTAATTGGTTTATGTTTGCCGCAATTATTTATTTGTTGTTTACCGCGTATTGGTATTGTATTTGTTTGTTGCACCTGATATGTATTCAGAACATATGTATTACGTTTACGTGGTGCATTGATGCCGTGTGGTTGTTTAGGGAAGTAGTCATTATACTGTTGCTGTGAAGATTGGTTACGAGTGTTGGCAACAGGTGGTAAACTTTGATTTGTATTGGTATACGGTTTGTCTGTATACCTATCTTTGCATTGTACAGGCTTTGATTTGTTAGTTTGACGGACATCGGCTGTACCGAATTGTGTTTGCATTTTAAACCTAACGATGTCCCATTGTGTATAGTTGTCCATAATCTCGTCGGCGTACCACTGTAGAGCTTTTGATTTCAAATTATACATCAACTGATGGACGCGCTCGGTACCCGACATGTGTTGTGTATTTAGCTCATATAATTTGAGCCATGTTTCGAATTTAACATCGGTATTATAACCGGAATACTTTGTTAATGTCATAATTATAATTTGTTTAAATTGTTTTTATAATAAATGTAATTTTAAATTGTAATAATATAAATAGTTATATGTAACCTTAACAATTGGTTACAGTGTTAAATGTTATAAATGTTTTATAATAGTTATAATAATAAATTGTTTTAAATATATAAAGTATTGAATGTTTATAATTCAAATAAGTAACCTTAACTATTGGTTACTAAGTTATTGTTAATAAATTGTATATATTAAAAAAGTAAAAATATTTAATAAAWCTTAGGTTGAAATAAAAATAATATATATATATTTTGAACTAAAAACTGTAATTTTTTAATTTCYCAGATTTTGTTCAATAAATATAGTTTTTAATTAAATTACTTAAATTAATAGATTTGTGATACAAATCAAACAATAATTGGTTGCTATTTAAAACCTATTAATAGGTTAGCAAATTATATGAAATGTTTGCATCAAAGYAATAAATAATACATATTTGTATTAATTAATTGTAYCAAATCTATAATTTTTWTTTTTTRTTTTAATATTACTTATTAAATATTTTTTCATAAAATTTAAGATACATTTTTTTAGCTAAAGCTAATAGATTGGACAACATATATATATATATAATAAAATTTAATTATTTCTCATTTTTTACATACATTTAATTGTTTCCAATMTATATATATTTTWWAAAAATTATTATTACTATTTTTATAGTGATATAAATAGTATTAATTATTTATAATTAATAATTATTAACAATACATATAAATKCAATAACATTAGTAATAATAAAATAATATTATTGTTAGCTATATAAATGTATTTAATATAAATTATAATATAAATATATATATATTATAAATTAAGTATTTTTAATAAAAAAAGTTATAATTATTTCTATAAATAACTAAAAATATAATTAAAATATTTATACAAATYGTWTAATAATTTTTTTTAAAACTTATAATACRTATAGAAAATTTAGGACATTTTACAGTAAATTAGTAATAAWAAGTAATAATTATWATWATAATATTTAATTTTTAGTTATTTTATTAATATGTTTAAAAAAATATTACGATAATTATTATTTATTTGTTATTTGTTATTTWAAACTGTAATTTTTAAATTGATCTAATATTGTACGATAAATATATTAGATATTAATTATTAGTTATTATAAGTAGATTGGGATACAAATTACAAAAYATAATAATAATAAAAAACAAACCAATAGTTTGTTATTATTATTATATGAATATTAATCTATAAATTATATATAGATTTGCAATTAATTAATTTSATGACTAATTTAAAAATATGGTTATTTAATTGTAACCAATCTATAAATTTTTTATTAATAATAATTTTTTATTAATAATATATATATATATATTTTGAWATAAATATATTTAACATATMATSAAAACTGTTATAAATGAATTTAAAGTTTTCAAAAAAATAATGCCATTGTTTATATTTTAGAAATTAGTAAAAGATAATTTTTTAATAAAAAATAATAATGTAATTTTTTATACAATTTATATGAWATATAATTAATGTAATTATTATAATATATTATATACAGTATATCTGAATAGTTGAATAGTCGTAAAATAATATATTAATAAATAAATATATTTGAAAGTATTTGAAATAAAGTTTCAAAAAATTATTAATAATTTTTTTTATAAATAAWGATTTCATTATTAATTTGAATATTTTATTTACARTAWATTAAATTAAATTTWTAAATAATATTTTTTTATMWTTTACAATTWGAACAATTTCTAAAATAATAATTAATTATTAAATTATATATATATATATATATATTAACTGTATATATCATATTAAAAAATAAWAATATTTWATATAAATAAGATATAAAWATAATAATATATATATATATATATATTGTMATAAAATACTGTATATATTATTAAAAACTATAATTTTTTAATTTCTTAGATAATGTACTATTGAAATATAGATTTTAATTWAAAAAATTTATTAATAGATTTGTGATACAAATCAAGCAATTATTTGTTGCCTTTTAAAMCCTATTAATAGGTGTTTGCAATTTATATTAATCAGACAATAACAATGGATTCAAMACTAAATAATAATACATATTTGTATTAATTAATTGTATCAAATCTATWATTTTTATTWTTSTTGTTTTAATATTAWTAATTAAATRATTTTTAAAAAAAAAAATTAAGATACATTTTTAGCTAAAGYTGTAATTAAATATCTAAAAATWTAATTWTAAAAAAATTATATTAATTGTTTAATATATCTATCGATAAATAATAYGTATCAGAAAGTTTWGGACATTTTAYAGTAAATTARTAATAAAAAGTAATAATAATAATAATAAKTATTATTATTATWTAATTTTTAATRTKTTTWWWWAAATATTACGATATTAATTTCATTTATTATTTGTTTGTTAATTAAAACTTATTTTTTTTAATTTACTAATATTTTACTAAAAAKAKWTATAGATATTWACTAATWAATTTWTAACAATTATTTGGTACMCAATYTATAATTWTACAWTTAATTAAATAAAATAGATTKCYAAACTCAAMATGATTAATTTTGTAAAACATTTTTTGTTTGTTTAAATATATTTATAATTATGATTACAACAGTTTTATGACATTGTATATATTAAATTTATTTAATATAAAAAAAATATTTATTTKAATTTTGKTTTATTGTTGTTKTTATRAAACTGTAATTTTTAAATTGACTAATATTGTAMTAGAAATATATTAGATATTAATTATGATTTAWTATATGTAGATTGGGATACAAATTAAAAAWAATATAATAATAATAAAAAACTTAAMCAATAGTTTGTAATATTATTATAATAATATTAATATATATATATTATATAGGTTTGCAATATATTAATTAGTCGACTATCATTCGGAATATATTTGGTAAATTAATTGTAACCAATCTATAATTTTTTTATTTATAATATATTTTTTGAAATAAATATATTTAACATCATCATTAAAACTGTCATAAATGAATTTTAAGTTTTCAAAAAATTTTAGAATTTAGTAAAAGATATTTTTTTTATAAAAATAATAATAATAATAATAATTTTTCAAAATATAATTTATATAAAATATAATTAAAATTAATATAATAATAATAAATTAATATTATATATATTTTTTTATTTTTACTTAATTATTAAAGTTTTTAAATATATATATACTTTACAATATGTGTATATATAATCTGTTTATAAATTGATATAATTAACAGTGTTTATAATGAATATATATAACACTAAAATAATTTCTAAACTATTTATTTAAAAAAAACTGTAATTTTTTAATTTTAAAAATATTGTTCTATAGATATAAATATTAATTTGATTTTAATATTAAACAGATTTGGGATATAAATCAAGCAAACTAATTGTTTGCTTATAAACCTATATTAATAGGTTAGCAATTAAATAAATTCATTTGCTTAATTTATATATAATTGTGTTAATTATATAAATATTAATTGTATCCCAAATCTGTAATTTTTTTATTATAAAATTTAATTATATTAAAAAATAATTTTAATTGATAAAAAATTATACACATATGACAATAAAAATTTTTATGT